TCTAGGATGTAAACTAATACGTAGAAGTACAGAAATTAGATCTTCTCTCCATCTAGGATGTAAACTAATACGTAGAAGTACAGGAATTAGATCTCTCCATCTAGGATGTAAACTAACACGTCAGTTCATTCCCAGGTTTAGCAATTAGCACAAAGTTTACTGTGATTCCATCGTTATGAATATATCCATAAGGACTTGTATTCGTTCCTTTGCACATAAACATATCACTCAGTAAGAGCAGGAAAATAAAAAACATAGTCCTCAAGGATCGGTCCTGGCGCCAACCTTGTTCAACGTTTATATTAGCGACATGCCCGCAACAAGATCCCCTAAGTTTGGATACGCAGACGACTTAGCCATTGCTTACCAATCCAACAACGTGAATTAATTGGAGACCGTACTCAGCAGAGACACTCCAGCTATTCAGACCTTCTTCGGTAATTGGTACCTGAAAATGAACACCACAAAAATAGTGACGACAATATTTCACCTCAATAACCATCAAGCAAACCAAACCCTGTAAATACAGCTTAATAATGAACTACTTCCACCATTGAAACACCCTAAATATCTCGGAGTAGTACTCGACTGAACCTTAACATAAATAATGAACTACTTCCACCAGAGAAACACCCTAAATATCTCGGAGTAGTACTCTACAAGACCTTAACATAAATAATGAACTACTTTCACCAGAGAAACACCCTAAATATCTCGGAGTAGTACTTGACAGAACCTTAACATACAGACAACACCTAGAAAATACTGCTCAAAAATTAAAGAAGAGGAACTCGCTGATCAGGAAGCTAGCCGGATCGTCATGGGGAGCATCTCAAACTGTGTTAAGAACATCCGCACTGGCCTTTTGCTACAGCGTAGCTGAGTATTGTGCCCCAGTGTGGACACGCAGTGCCCACACAAGAAAAATCGATGCCCAGCTGAATGAAACGATGCCAATTATATCCGGTGCCATCAAATCTGCACCATCGACTTGGCTGTCAACAATGAGTGCGATTGCTCCACCACACCTCCACAGAGAGGAGGCCACTCAAAGGCAGCACCAACGCATTAGAAACACAAATATTGACACACCCTTGAAGCAAATAATTGACTGAGCACCCACCACTTCAAGACTAAAATCAAGAAAACCTTTCTATAAATCAACGAAAGAAAACTTCAACATTAAGGAAGCTTGGAGACAGGAATGGAGGGAGTGCCCTCCCAGGGGTGGACAGTGAGCCACTGTCCGGTTTCTATCACCTAACCAGAAAGCAATGGACACAGGCAAACAGGCTGAGGTCAGGCCATGGCAGAACAGCGGCCAACCTGCATTGATGTGGTTATCATAAATCTCCTATATGCTCAGCATGTCAGGAATCCCCACAAGACACAAACCATCTCGTGTTGCATAGTCGGTCACTGTGGTACCGGGTGGATATGGTAAAATCCATGAAGCGGGCGAGACATTCATTGACTGGATCATGACTACGAATTTGGAGGTGTGAGAAACACCATACGCAACTACTACATATATCACAAATGCCCTCATTGTGGTTGAATTCATGCTTGTACACGGACACTTTCACAACCTACGAACATTTCCATACTTGTGAACAAATATGAATACAGTGGTCGTCCCAACACGGACATCTATCATGCCTGTATACAAGCACGCACACTCACACAAAGTTAATATTTTCAATTCACACGTAAAATATTTATAACTGTGTTCAGGAGAAACGTGACATAGCCCACATCCAAAGGAAAAAAAATCACTGTAAGAAGAGATACATAAATATATAGGACTTCTTCAGTTGACCCTCAAATAGATTCACACATTAATTAATTAGTGATAAAACAAACTGTGACTGTGGCAACTTCGTTACTTACCGTGTATTTAAACATGATCTCCTTGATGAACCCGTATCTGCAGTAAGAAAACAAGAACTCGTTACAATGTTGCTAAAGGCTTGCTACTAACACAATCAGAAATACTGTGTTAAACTCTTAAGCTAACTGTTAATAAAAAATTCATGACAGTCACATTTTAAAATCGGGACAGTTACTAAGGAAGAGAAATCGAAGTCCTAAATCATCTACAAATTACAGGAGAAAATATGGGTTACTAATGGCACATTATTTCTCAATAGAAGTTCATATAATTTCGTTTTGCTTACATTTATATAAATATAATAGTACTTTCTCGTTGTCTGTCCATGTAACTACTTCGCAGGGTGTGGAAGAATCTTTACGAAAATTAGTATGGAGGCTCATTAAGTCCATGTGGGGGTATATAAATATATATACACACATTTTCAGTTTTGTATTTTGCGTTTTACGGGCGTTTTTACATTTTTGTCTCTATTTCGCCCCCCTGTAAATGGATCTTCACAATATTTGGTATGAAAATTCGTTGGGTCCATGGGGAGATACATACAAATTTTCAGATTTGCATTTTGCTTTTGGTGGTTTTGCGTTTTTTACTACTATCTCATCTCCTGTGGATGGACCTTCACCAAATTTGGTATGGAGGTCTATTGGATCCATAGGAAAATACATACATTTTTAAGTTTTGCATTTTGCGGTTCTTATGGGCGCTTTCGCGTTTTTTTACCACTACTTCGTTCCCTGTAGATGGACCTTCACCCAAATTTGGTATGGAGGTTCATTGGGTCCATGGGAAGATACATACAAATTTACAGTTTTGCGTTTTGCGATTTTTATGGGTGTTTTTGCGTTTTTTACCACTACTTCGCCCCTGTTGGCATGAAAGCCTGTTGGGTCCATAGGGAAATACATGTAAACTTGCACTTTGACATTTGTGCTTCGCAGTTTTTTATGGGCGTTTTTGCGTTTTTACTATTACATATAAGGGAAGCAACTTTTCACGTCCTAAGATAACCTTTCATTAATCATGAATTTACATACCTTCTGTCCAGGAGACAGGTACTCCAGCTAATAAAGTGATAATATAAAAAAAATATATACCATAATGATGTGATTATAACTAATTATGCAGGGAAAAGTGACGTGATATTCACTAATAAAAAATATAGTGATCACCCACACTGGCAAAAAGTAGAAAAATGGGGTTTCACTTACGTCTACTATCACCAACAATAACAGAAAAAATAGTTAGCTTATGCACTTACGTCTACCATCACCAGCAATAACAGAAAAAAAGAGTTAGCTTATACACTTACCTCTATCATCACCAACAATAACATAAGAAAGTGTTAACTCATACCTAAAATACACTTACGTCTACCATCACCGACACTAACAGAAAAAAGTGTTAGCTTATACCTAAAATACACTTACGTCTACCATCACCCACAATAACAGAAAAAAAGAGTTAACTTGTACACTTACGTCTACCATCACCATCAACAACAGAAGAAAAAAAAAGAATTAGCTTACACTTAAAATACTGTTAACATTGACAGAAAGTGGGAAGTGTGGTTGTTTTTACCACATCACGAATAATGACAGAAGAAAGAGTTAGCTTAAAAATAACACACCCAAGAATAACCATATGATGGTTTAACTTGTATATATATGCCAACAGAGTGTTATCAATCGTCGTTTCTTAGACCAATGTGACTAGAAAACACTGTGAACTGCGTTACGCACCTGTTGTGTTTACAATATATTATCACGTGTCGTTTTGTTAGGTTTAGTGTGAATGAAAACTTGTAGAATGGTTTCCAAATATGCTAATGTTTGGTGCAGTAGTTTATCACATGTTAAAAAGGTGACTAAGAAACGTTGCGGACTGTTTCCATACCTGCTAGTGTTTACAGTAATAAGTTATCTCATACAGAATTAAAGATTTACAAACCTTATATTGACACTGAAATCTTCGTGATTGCCCCGGTTTAGGAAAACGGAGTCAGGCCAAACCAGTAAGCACGCTATCAGAAGTAAAAGAACCTCTACAGACTGAATTCCTCGGTCCACGAAATCCCCATTAAAGATGTAAGGGTTGTCAGCCGCCGGAAGACTGTTCTGGGATGTAAAAAAAAATTCTGATGTAACATGTATATTTTGTAAACATATGAAATATATAGTGTTGTTCTATAACATACACGAAAAAGCTGATAAGTGTTAAATTTGTCCCAGTACTTCTATGTAATAAGATCATGAACGCCCCACTAAGCTAGCTACCAAAGAGTAGAAGCTGTCTCCATCACTGTACACTTACAAGTCTTCCTACTACAAGTATGTTAACCACAATATGTTATTATTATGTACATATTTAATTGATTTACCATCACCCACCCACAGCATACCAAGTCTATTTACAAATTTACGTATATATTTAACTTCCATTACGGAATAATTCAAGGACAATTTTTTCTCATTACTCATAAACAGTGCTTGAGTTGTAAAAATTTAACAAGTGGAACGGTTAGGTTTGATATCCAATTTGCGAACAGCAGTCCCATGCTGCACAAATATGTCTAACAACAGGAACGATTTTATAAAAAAAAATGTTAACAACAAGAACGGCGTTCCGGTTCGTTCCGCCTCAACTCAAGCACTGCTCATAAACGTTTGCATGAAAAAGCCGATAAGTGAAAAGAAACGCGGGAACAGAAGTTGAACTCTCATCCCGGAGTCTCTTTTCACTTATCAACTTGTTTATGTCAAAATTAATTTTAAAATGTTTCTATAACAAATACAATGTATTACTGTTCGTAATTGTGCATTACAAATGTTAGCCCCTGTTTAGTGATAATAGTGTTAAGTTGGGCCTAGTCAGTTAGCCCGCTGCTTAGTAATAATAGTGACCCAGAGTTAAGGCTCGAGTGTTAAGTTAGGCCTAGTCAGTTAGCCCGCTGCTTAGTAATAATAGTGACCCAGAGTTAAGGCTCGAGTGTTAAGATAGGTCTAGTCAGTTAGCCCGCTGCTTAGTAATAATAGTGACCCAGAGTTAAGCCTCGAGTGTTAAGTTAGGACTAGTCAGTTAGCCCGCTGCTTAGTAATAATAGTGACCCGGAGTTAAGGCTCGAGTGTTAAGATAGGTCTAGTGAGTTAGCCCGCTGCTTAGTAATAATAGGGACCCAGTGTTAAGGCTCGAGTGTTAAGTTAGGCCTAGTCAGTTAGCCCGCTGCTTAGTAATAATAGGGACCCAGAGTTAAGGCTCGAGTGTTAATATAGGTCTAGTGAGTTAGCCCGCTGCTTAATGATCTAGCCAATAGCAAAAACAATTATTTGGGCTCATTTACTGCTCTTTATAAAATCTAGCTTTTGACCAATCAGTTCGGTTTGAATTTCGCGCAAAGCTACATTAGGGCTATCTGCGCTAGCTGTTCCTAATTTAGTAGTGATAGTCTAGAGAGAAGGCAGTTAGTCGACACCACCCACCGCCAACTATTGGACTATTCTTTCACAAACGAACAGTGAAATTGACCGTCACATTATAAAGACCCTTCGGCAGTTCGTGACGAGGATTCGAACCTGCGACCCTCTGATTGCGAGTCGAGCGACCAAACTACCAGTCCATGCCAGACCTTGGCCAATCAATTCATTTATAATTTTGGCTTTGATATACCGTAGTCACTTAATCACGTAAATGTATACGTGTATGCAGGCTATGTTATGAGCCAAGGGGACCCGGAGTAGTGAAAAATGCGTTTTTTATCTTACTACCGGGTCCCATAGCAATACTACAGCTGCTACAGTGGTATATACGCTACTGGTTTAGACTTTATAATGTAATGCTAGGACTTAGCTTGATAGGAACATTCACTTTTGTAACAAGAGAGAGAGTGAATACTTTGAGAACAATAACGTGTTTTAGTTATGTAGTTTTTAAGTAAAATTCATTACAAAATGGAAGGAGTTTTAAATGTAGAAACTGTTTTAGAAATAACTGATTTACAGTAGAAGATACGAGTGACATTATCAAGTGGCAGTTGTCAAGAGATTATCGTAGTCGTGTCTGTAAATATGAAAATTACGGCAAGCGAGTTGTTAAAATTTAGTTATTTGCTTATCATGAAAAAAAAATCAAGGTCGTATTTCTTAAACAGGCTGCGAGTCACCTGCCAAATCCAAAATAGTTAAGTTGAAAGCTTGGTGTATATAAACATTCAAAGTCACTTAATATATCAACAAATATAGCCTTTGTTGGAATATACGTACTTAGTTAATAATATATTTAAAATTTGCAAATTACGTTAATGAAAAACATCTTCATTTATGATATTCCAACCCCGTCCACCTGCTGATATTTTTTTTATTCGATTGAATTCAAAAGGAAAATTTTCACTAAACCTTGTAAAATATGGTGAGGAGGTCATCCAACTTTCCATGAAGGTCGCCACAAACTGTAATCTGCCTGGAGAAAGTAGTGCGAGCAACACTGATGTTAGGTTTACATCGTAATATCTTACGAGCTTCGTGTAACAACAATAGAACATACCGGGCATGTAATGACTGGAAAAAAACAAAAATTACTTCGTTTCATTTTTACCCATTTAAAAGTTTTTCAACTAGAATGTGCAACGAAATTCAAAATTTTTGTATAGATATTGCACTCTTTATATTCAACTATCAAAAAATTATCCTTTTAAATTAAAACTAAACTGTATTATATGCAAAATTAAATGTGAGCGAAAAACATGAAACACGCACTATTCGCTGTCTGAAGGAATCAATGAGTGATGTTACTTGTTCTGACGTCAGAGGAAGTGTGATGTGAGGTCCCTGATACGTTGGCTCTATGGAAACTGCATTCGGGTTTGTTTCTTTCCAAAGTTCTCTGTTCTCTTCCTCAATTTCCGTTAGGAAGCGAGGCTTACCTATAGGAATTGTAGAATAGTTTTCTGTGTTTGAACAAAATTATATAAATATAATGAAGCGTAGAAAGATCAAAATTTAAATTGGAGTAATACTATTTTTTATCCATTTGAATGAACGTCAACATGAAAGTTACTTGACATTGAAGAACAAGTAAACAATGCCAGAAAACACCTACCTCTGAAAGAGCGGTGGTAGGAGAGTGCTAATGAACTGGCAAAAGAAGAAGCTTTATCACAGGGCATGTGGGTTATGAGGTCTTTAAAGAACCTGTACAACTGAAACACACAAGAACTAAGATGACAACGATCAAGTACATCATTTCTAACATTAAGGATGTACTAACATAAGTATAATAAAGTATAACTTGCATAATATTTATTTGAAAACTTGACTATTATTATATATTCGGGATTATTATGTGATTTTATGTGGTCTGTAAACAAAAAATAATTAATAACCTGATTATAAACTAGTACAAATATAATGAAGTACAGAAAAAACGTATTTAAAATATGCATCTATTATCGTACTCTAAATAATTCACGTTTTGTATTATCGTACTCTAAACAACTCACAATCTATTATCGTACTCTAAACAACTCACAATCTATTATCGTACTCTAAACAACTCACAATCTATTATCGTACTCTAAACAACTCACAATCTATTATCGTACTCTAAACAACTCACAATCTATTATTGTTCTCTAAACAACTCACAATCTATTATTGTTCTCTAAACAACTCACAAT